CACGGCGGAGTCATACGAGGCAGCATACTCGGCCGTCGCGGCTGGCGGAAGAGCGGTAGTTGGCCTGCGGGGAGGCACAGTAGTGCAGTAGCAGATAAGTAGCAGCCAGGCAGGCAGCCTGCAAGTCCCTCACGAGCGAGCTGCCTGCAAGCTGCGGGCGGCGGGGGCAATGTCGGCTTTCAGCCCCCACGCCCTCGCCTTCATCCGGCGCTTGGCCAGGGCACGTGGACGAGCGCGGGGGCCGTGGAACGCGGCCGCGGCAGGGCGGGCGCTCACCCAGCTCGACCCTGGCGTCCTGCTCGAGGGGGAGCTGCAGCTGGCGCCTGAGTCCGCAGTGTGGGTCGGTGACCTGCTGCAAGGTGTCCGCATCGGAAGTCCCGCCTTCATTGAGGCCCATTTGCAACAGACCCTCGTTCGCCGGTCTTCTCCAGGATCTTCCTGCCATCCATGACACTCGAACCTGCTGGCTGCTTCTTTCCTGTTGCGCGGCGCCGCGTGCTCAGGATGCACTCCGGTCCCTCCCACCGGAAGTCACGCAGGCTTTCGCTGCCGGCCACGGTCAGGCAGTGTTAGCGTGCATCAACACGCTTTTGTGCTCTAGGGCTCAGAACGGACCCGTGCCCAGCTTGCCCTGCGCCATGGCGGCCTTGGCCTACGCAGTGCGGCACGGCATGCTCCCACCGTTCATTGGTCCTCCTGGGCCGTTGCACCGCCTCTCAGGACCCCCTTCGCGCGTGCGCTCGTTGACACTCTCGATGGGGGGTGGCCGGCAGCCGAGGCCCTGCAGTTTGCGCTCCTAGCTCGCAGCACCCGGCGCTCCAGGAGGGGCAGGAGTAGCTGCTGGATGGCGAGGCGATCTTCGCGTATCTCGATGACACGTCTGTTATCGCCCTGCCAGAGCGAGTATTCGCAAGAACTCTGCGAGGCGTACAGACGCGCTCTGTGGGCGCATTCACATCTTGAACTCAACAGCCGCAAAACATGTCTTTGGAACGCAGCAGGTGAGGAACCACATGGCCTGTCGGTCAGGCCGAGTGCGGGGAACAGGGAGACGGCGAAGCCAAAACTCCAAAATCCGACGGAGCAACAGTTCTTTGAATGACACCATGGTGTACTTGGGAAGCATCATCGCGCACCTGGCGACATGGCTTGGCTTTTCAAGCCTGTGACATCGGAGTTCCAACAGTTTCTGGGTCGTCCGCGTTTGCGCGGGTTCTACAGCTCTCGCTGGACTTTCCTCATAACACACGCATGAAATGTCCAGATGGCAGTTCGGCCACGTTTCTGATCAACATCAATTGCCTGCACAACAAAATTTGATAGAACTTGCGGCTCCAAGCCCGTCTCAGAACTTCACTATTTGGCACTTCAGGATTTGGCACATGACTGACGTAAGAATGCGGAATGCGCAGGATTCGGCATAGACAGCGGGGGGCCACAGAGTCTTAGATTAACACACCGAACACCAAGGTGACCTGCAACAGCACCAGCAGTCTTCCGGCCCTTGCCATCGATGTTGACGAGTATGGCGGTAACATTCTGCAAGTACATGTCGCGTGACATCTTGCCGCTGTACACACAATTTGCATCTGAATCCCACACATCATCTCAACCTCAGCCCAAAATCAAATTTGAGGGCATGCCCGACACATGCCTCTCTTCCAATCTGGTTAAATATGCGTGCTCGCAATGTGGTGGCCACCGAACCGCCGAATTCACGCACGTGAAAATCCGCAAACGATAACAGGCCGCGACTTTGCTTCTCCCAAGCACTGTCGCTGCAGACGTCGTATGCTATAAGATCGATGTTGCAGCGCTGGTTTGTCAGCCGGTGTGTAGCTGGTCAGAAAGATAACCCACGGACAACCCACCACGGACAACCCACAGTCGAAGCTTCAGCATTCGGTGTTTTAAAGGTTGCTGATGTTTTAGGATTGGTCCGTGCAGGTTTGCTCGCGTTCCGGGTCATGCTGGGCAAAACCGCAAGAAGCTCTCCCAATGGCTGTTCGAGGCCATCTGCGAAGTCACATGCCTCAGCCAAGTGGCAGCACCATGCGCGTGACTGCGCGCGAGCGCTACAAGTCGTTTTTCTCCAACCTGACGAACCAGCCGACAGAGCGCCAAGCACTGCAAGACAACATATGTCAGCATGACAGGTTCCGTCATGGAGGGGTTTATTGCGCACGGCACCACGCATAATGGAGAGGTTCTGCATCAAGTTCTGACAATGCAACGAAGCAATATGCGCCACTGGGAATGCAATCCTTCTGCTCATGCAGCCGGGCTGGGACTCTGCCTTTCACAAAAGGTTGGGACCCTTGAAAACTCCCCATTGAAAGCCTGGAACCAGCCTGGTGACTTTTGCAACCCCGGCCCAAACGCCTGAGCCCTGACGTGCCTTTGTCCCTCCTCACACCTCAAAAAGCGTTGCACCGGCGAGGTGGGGAAGGGTACCCCGGCAGCTTGTTTTGGGTGATGCGGGTTTCTGGGGATGGACCTCTGGAACTTTTTAAAGGAGGAGCTCGAGCAGCTTCGGGTTGTGGTCATTTTGCGGGGACTGCTCTGAGGCCTGGCAACTCCCGGCACTTCGCCAGGATTGCTACTTCTGAGCACGCGTGCGAAACCTAGTTGTGACTTTTGTCCTTGCTTTGTTGTAATTTTCGGATTTTTCATCAAAACTACCTAGGTGTGCCTTTTCCGGGGGCCTGAATTCTCGAAGGGAGCAACTTCTTGTGTTCATAATACGTTGTTTATACACTTGGCACCTTTTTGGGTTAGCCAGCATCTCCGTTGATGCCTGAGGCTTGACATCTAGGGAGATTTGGGTGGGGGTAGGAGAGGGGTCCGGTTTCAGCTACTTTTCTTGGTGGGGGGGTGGGGTGTCGGTTTCAGCTTCAATGGGCTCGGTGTGAGCTTGCGGGCGCCGGCGACTGTGAAGCACCCATAGCCAAACCATCTACTCGCGAGGGAAGGTAACAGGCTCACCGGTGTCTCAACGAACACGTGCAGGGTTCCGATGCAGAAGGTACACGGCAAGCGTCAGAAACCAACAAATCGCATCAAATCGGCTTTAACCGCTCGGATTGAACCGCTATGCGGAGTGTACGCTCAGCAGCAAGAGCAAGACGTTGCTATGCTCTAAACCGGCCGCACGAAACGTCTGTTCCCAAAAGCACCGATTACACATCTTTCAAGACCTGCTGGGCCTCCCCTAGTCTAGAACATCAAGGTTCAGGAACAGGATTGCGAACAAAAAACTGTGCGGTATGTCTTGCCGGTGTCGCAACCTTTGGCGACCCCTCATAGTAATGAATTTGGTCGAGAACCGGGGGCAATATGTAGAGTTGTCCAACCGCCATTTTGCATGCCAACACGTGACTGGATCAACAGATCTCATGCCGCATCCCCGGATTTCCCTCAAGTCGCTGGACACAGGGGAACTACGTTCGGCAGGAGGCTGGCAACAACCTGGTATGTCATGTGCAGCACGCTGAAATACTGACGTGGAGAAACAGCCAAAATATGTTCGGGAGGGCCGTCATGCGCAGCACGCCGACATAATGACGTGGAGAGACACACGCGGCCGGCCCAGCCGATAGCCCGAGATACCCACAAAATGGCAACTGGTCGGGCAATTGGGTTGCAGAAGCTCAAAAGAATCAGATGTATAAAGATTGAAGAACATAATCTGAGCATAATCACGCTTACCGCAAAATTCAATTGCCCCACCAGCACTGTGACACCGCGGTAGTCAGCTTGCTTTGGCTAACCACCTGGACGAGCTGAAAGCTCCACTGCCGAATATGCTCGGACATTCGTGCCGACTCACACTGTCAGAATCCGCAAAATTCTGCCGTTTGTTGACTGCGTCTCTCACTGCCTGCAAATGCCTGCATTGGCTCAGTAACTGAAATCGGAGGGTTCGGCGCCCAGAAGCATAGTTCCTGCCACAGTAGCAGGAAGTCAGGAAGTACTTCGCGCTTGAAGGCGCATTGCTCTGTCGAAACTTCCAAAGAGTACTCCTCTATGATCCCAAGGCGAAGCCGTGTGGTCAAATGTGGTCTATGGGCGCAGAGCGACTTGTTGCAGGTGTTTGCTGCATACTGCCCACAAACAGCCACAACTCACCCACCGTTGCTCTGGTTAGGGCTTTGAGTTATGAAACTCTTGACTGTGCTTGCTCGATAAAGGCTTTGAGTGCACATGGTAGCGGATCTCCGTCCCTTGCTTTCCCCTGCCCTCTGCCCACTCACCTTCTGACGTACGAGCGCACGTGTTTGTTACCCCACAAGTCAGAAGTTTCCCCAGCCCCCTAGCACAGAAGTTACCCCACGTGCGCAGAAGTTGTCCCAGAGCCGGTTCTCCGAGGGCACAGCGGTGTTCAAGAGCCCCGTTTTTAAAAAAAAATTCGGACTTCACACTACCGTACCCTCGAGATTGCCTCTTCCCAGCACCTTCAAGACAAGCCAAAAACATCTTCAACTGTTGACGGAGACTGTTCTTTAAACTATTCTTTAAACGGCTGGCAACGGGGCCCAATAATTTTCTGACCGACGCACGCCCAGCCCAGCCCACAAAGGCACTAAGGCGAGTAACACCATATGCGCCAGAGAGAGAACAACTTCTGTTTCATGGTTTGGGGTCTTTCCCTAGTGGCACAGCCCTCACAAGCCATCTGAAATCATAGCCCATGTGACATGGTATCACAGTTTGCAACATTCCCGCAGGGCACAGCGGCATTGGGACAACTTCCGTCTTGCGGGACAACCTCCACATCTACTCATGTAGATGCTGGTCGCTCCCCCCTAGCTGCTGCTAAAATACACTTGCCCCAATACTCCGCATCTCTCCCCGCTGTCAACGAACCCTAGATATTACCACTGAGAAGGCGTGAGCAGGGGTTGACGAAGTCTTTGGGGGGGCAGACTGACACGAACCTCGAACTGCCACGGGGTGTGCAGCGGCGCTCTTTTCTTCAATTGGTCTGTCCTTGATGCTTCTCAATGTTGAATGCCACCACACTGAAGAAGCTTTGCGTCGTTAAAGGTGCTCTCAGCAAGTATCGGCAGAAGCTCCTCCACAGAAACATGTGGGTGCTTGCCTGATATCCGGGCGGTTCTGTGTTGCCCTCGGGTTTTGCAGGCGTTCTACGCGGATGAACCGGAAACTCCTGGGGTTCATTTAGTTCATTTTGGGTTGTAATCTTGAACGCATGTAAGAGTCCTTCGCATCGCTCCACGCTGTGACGATCCTCTCCGCAGCCTGCTCCACTGCATTGGTCTTCACGGGTAAGCCGGCGAAGTACATGCGATCCACCAAAAGTGCGATGTCATCCAAGGCGGCAAGCACTTGGGAAAGCGTCTGGCCTGCAAGGCCCTGAGCGAAGATGTCGTTCACCGAGTCCATGAGCAGCGAAGCGTTGCCGTTGCACAGGTGCAGTTTGAAATTCTCCGTGTGAGGCAGCTCTCTGCCCAAATCAGCCTTCGCAAGACGCCAGAAGCCATCGCCATCCGAGATCTTTGCTGCAAGGAGGCCAAAGAAATTTGCAGCACTGCGCCAGCTCTCCTGCAAGACTTTGTGAGTGGCATCCTCGATAGCCATGACTTTCTTGTAGCCTGCATGGACTGTGCGAAAGTCATGATGACAAGATGAAGTGTAATCCTGCAGCATCGCAGCAGCCTCTGAGTAGGTTTGTACTTGCACTTGCGCTTGTTCGTAATAATCTTCAAGAACGCGGCGTAGGGGCCACCATGTCTTGTCCAGCTCCAAGAGAAATTCCGCAACATACTGGTCCACATTAAGCACACCCTCTGCAAGGAAATCCTTGAAGTGATGCAGCAACTGGCGCTGCCGAAGACTGACATGGTGTGACTTCCGCTTGTAGACACCCAGGAGCTTCGATCGTGAAAGCGCCAGTTCGTTGATATGGACGGCAGCTTTTGCAACGTTTTCGGCAACTTGCATGGTTCTACGCTTACGAGGAAGAGCTTGCTCCTGCCGTGCTAAACCACGAAGTTGTTGCGCCTTTTTCTGCAAGGAGCTCCATGAGCTCGTGATGTTGGAGCTCCTTGCAAGTTGTTGAAACTGCTGGATGGAGCGCTGCAGGGCGCTCGTTGTGGCGGTGCCCGGGGAGCTGGTTACCATGGACTTCACCTCTGAAAGCATCTGAAACAACCCCTTTGGGCTACTCCCCAAGCTCTGCACGTCTTCTTTTAACTCATCGACTTTGTCACCCACAAGTCCTCCCGCAGCAGGAAAAAATGCATGTGGACAGCGACTCCCACTCTCTGCACTCACTCCCTCTCCCTGTGCTGCAGGAGCAACCCGAGTCCAGTGTAGTACTCCATCAAGGCGTTCATGTTGGAATTGAGTGTCGCAGCGGCCCCCTCAATGTTCTCATTGATGATTCGGTCGCCATCCACCACTGCATCCTGCAGCCATGTAAGCTCTCACTCGCGACAGCCCAAAATGGGACTCGACCTGCGATAGAAAGACTAAGAAGAAGGCACCTACACCGGATGAGGTTCTTTTGGAGTTCAAAACTGGTGCCGCGAGTTTCAGCCGTTCTCGAGAGTTCTGTGACAGCAAACCAGTCTCTTCTTTCTATGCAGTCGCCGCGGCCCACAAAGATTCACTGAACTGCGGGACTTGCTGTCTGAGCTTGTTTAAACATTAAGCAGGGTTTTCCGGAATGCATAGTGAAGGGTACTCACTTTACATGTTAGGGGCCACGCAGCGACCAAATCGCAATGATTTGTCGCATCGTTTGCAATCATCCGCAAGCGTTCGTAATCGTCCCGGTGTGTCATTGGGTTGCGATATGCTCCGATGACAGGGAACTCCACAGGCACCGCGTGCAATGTGCATCGTTTGCTTTGTGGGGCTGTATATGAACTTTAAAACAGGAGAGCTGGACAAGAACGGATGAACTATGCAGAGCTACATGCAAGGTCAGCTGAAGAACGTGCCATCGCTGGTTTCGAGTTCTGCGGGATTGAGGTTCAGCGATCATTGTACCCCACAGTGACGGGCCCAATCTTCGAATCGGACTTCATCCCCGACACTTTCGCATTACTCCATTAACGCCTCAACTGCTTCACCACAACTCACTCGTAGTGTCGTAACCAACACATACTCAAGCTATCCAGGAGGAGTGTACGACCATAGCAAAACGCCAGTCCTTGATGCAAAACAGGTCACAGAAGATTCGGGCGAATGATGACTTTGTGCTCGTGCAGTCGGCCAACTGCGCTCCTCACCAAGCTGCCGCATGGCAAGAACATGATGCTCCACGAAAAACACAACGAAACAAATATGATCACATGGCATGCAGCATACACTACTTGTTTTCCTGGGTGGGGGGGTTCAAAGACCGACTTTGCTCATGATGTTGTAGCAGTGGACTTAACTGAACTTGCAAAGGCTGCTGCATGTGCACGTTGTCGGCCAGGGATCCCCACCACTCTTTTTTCGCCACGAGTAGCTTTAAATCCTTGGCGGCAGTGATCGTATCACCTGCGGCATCTGTCAGGTACTCGCACAAGTCGTGGCCAGTTTCTCCCTCAACTCCAGCTCCGAATGGTGCCAGAATCAAGCCCGGGATGAAAGCGCACCCATTGCGAACTGTCAACTTCAAGAATGCCTGTGCTGTCGAAGCACCAGCAGTCCAACCCAACTCTGTCTGTTCATAGGATCGCTGCCTGTTGAATTCGCGTTTGAAGCAACCGAAAATGTTGGCGTAAGTGTAGCCTTGCCCTGCTTTTGACCGTTGAGGCCCCTTCGCCATGTCTTCGTCATAGTCACCCTCCATGAAGCTCGCTTGTCCCTGTTCCTGAGCCTCTGTCGCCTCCTCGCGCGTTTTCGTTGGTGGCCCCGAAACGTATTTGCAAGGGTTGTCATCACTGAGCGACTCATATCCTGAAAACGTCAAGGTCTTGCATTCTGGCCTCTGCTCAAACTGCTTCGCCTTGAATTTGAGCAGTTTGGGCTTGGGCCGTGGCTGTCCACGGGCTCCACTCTGCGGACCCTTGGCGCTGAAGTCTCCATCGAAGAGGCTGGCCGAGACCACCTGCCATTCAAATGACCCCTCGAGCACTTCACCATGCACTCCGACCGGAAACTCGGAGTCTGAGGCAGCGCAGGTCGGCAAGGGAGTACTGAAGTGTCTGACTACCCTCATGCTGTCAGACATGCCGTCAGCGCTATCGCAATCCAAGGCGATTGCGGGGAAGCCTCCTTTGCAGATCGCTTGACGATTAAGCGTATCCGAAGTTGAGCAGCCGTTCCACCATACCTGCGGTCCGTTGTTCCAGTACACGTGGCACCACGCCATTGCTTCCTTGTTGCAAGCTCGCTGGACGGTTGAGTTGAGACCGAGCTGTTGTGCAGCATCTTCGCACTCCTTGAGGTCCTTGCGATACGAACGACTGCCGCTACAGTTTGCAGGTTGCAACATGATTGCAGGGCTCAGTAATGCTCAGTATGATTCTCCTAGCGATGAGTACCAATCCTAGTCACTAGTCCTCGATGTGCTGGCCCATGGGACAAGGCACCGTCCTCTTGCTCAACGTGTAGACGCCTGCAGACGCAACAATTTCTGGATGCTTTGCCGCCAAGCAAAGCCTCGACTGTGAGACCAACTGGCCCTCTGCATCAAGATGTAAGAACTGGTGGGTAGCCTGTGAAAGGTTCTGAGGTTTTGCGCAAAGCTTCTCCTCCTCAAAATGCAGGACTTGCCCTCCCGCTTTGTTGGCCAGGTACTGTTCGCGCCATGTCCAACGCTGCTCGTCCTCGTGGTTACAAGGCTCGAATGCAACGAGGCGGCAGTCAGGGTCATCAGCTGCGGCTGCTTCAGTCAACGTCAAGCACATTTGATCAAAAGTCACGAAGCCCTCCGTGCTCGGGCACCACATCCCCTTCTCCTGCAGGTTTCCGTGGGTAGTGGGGATGACGTTGACTTGTTATACTTCGTTCTAGCTCATTCTGGCAAGGTCTGAGAGGTCACATCGGGTCATGTACTAGATCGACTCGCTCTCCAAGCAGCAGCTCATGGGTATCTTTCATAGCATGACATAAATGTGACATACACGTCCTTCTGTTTTGCTCCTTTTGTCCGCCTGTTCATTGTCTTATCTTGTTGTGTTTCTGGTTGCGCGTGCTTGCGCACGTGCATGCGCATGCACGCGCACACGTGCATGTGTGTGTGTGTGAGCACGCGTGCGTACGCGTGCGTTCGTACACGTGCGTGCGTAATTACGCGTGCATGCGTCCGCGTGCGTGTGCGTACTTGTGCGTGCTCCACGGCCGTGCGGGCGCATGCGTCAGAGGGCGTGTGCGGGCGGAGGTGGGCGCACGGGCGCCTGCATGCCCGCGTGCCTACATGCGTGTGCCTGCGCGTTCCACCCGTGCGCGTGCCTGCGCGTGCCTGCACGTGCCTGCGCGTGCACGTGCCTGCGCGCCCCCCGCGCGTGCCCCCCGCGCGTGCGCCCCCGCGTGCCCCCCCGCGCCGCGCGTGCCCCCCGCGCGTGCCCCCGCGCGTGCCCCCCGCGCGTGCCCCCTGCGCGTGCCCCCCTGCGCGTGCCCCCCATGCGTGCCCCCCGCGCGTGCCCCCTGCGCGTGCCCCTGCGTGCCCCTGCGTCTGTGCGTGCCCCTGCGTGCCCCTGCGTCTGTGTGTGCCCCTGCCTGCCCCTGCGTGCCCCTGCGTGCCCCTGCCCGCAGGGCCTGGGCCCCTGGGGACCTCTGTGGCTCCTGCAGGGGCGACGACGAAAAGGGGCAGGGGAGAATCAAGCAGGAACAGCTTGCCAAATGAGCACTGGTCCATTTGGTCCACGCACCTTGTTGTAGAAGAGTTGGTGCTGTAGAAGTTTGGCAGATGGGCGGAAGGAGTTCATCTGCTTGTAGGTTAAGCGACCAGTTATGTCCCTCTCCACCGGGCAATAGACGCCTTCCCATGGCAGCAATCCATGTACGATGCGTCCTGTGGGAGTGATGGCAATAGGAACTCCTGATATCGTGCAGCAGTCGTACCGGAATCGAAACTCATCGCCTGAGACCTCTGGCTCCATACCCATCAGACCATACTTTGGAGGGCAAGAAATCGGGATTTGAAAACCTTCATCATCAATTGACTCTCGACGTGTTTGTTTGCTGTACATCGGTACACATGCACCCAAACTCGCGAAATAAGAGCAGGCCACAGTCACATTGAAATCATGGGAATCTTTCACGAGCCGGGTGATGAGCATGCCAGGGGGACAGAGCAGCGCATGAAGGGTTCCGAAATTATGATCCTTGTCCATGAACATCACGTGACTCTCCACTTCTTTACCGAAAGACGCTCCTCTCGCACAGCTCCGGTTACTTCCCCCGAAAGTGAAGGACTCGATCGGGAACTCACCACAGTCCACTGACAAAAACATACCTTTGATGGTGCTTTGTCGTTCAGCACGCCGCGTAGGCGCAGACTCGACGCCACTGAGCATCTCCGAAAGAATATGGATCAGCGGCATCGAGCCAAGGACCTGACCCCTGGCCTGAGTCTCGGGACGGCATTTTGTCATGTTGGTACGCATTGCCAATGTAGAGCCGCTTGTGGATCTGTCTGACACATCTAAGCACTTCTTGCTTTCCGTGGACCTGAGCCTCCACAAGGCCGAGTCAGAGACATTGACCAGTTCTGTCACAAAGCCACCAAACGAAAAAGACGGCTGCAACAATGGCGGGGCTTGACAGAGTTCTACTTGAGCTTGGCTGACTTTGATGAAGCACAGAGAGTCTGCCTCCAAAGATGAAGTGTAATTAGAGTCATAGCCAAAGTGGAACCGACAAAATTGGTTGGTTCCGCCAGTCTCATACCTTGCCGCAGACACGCATCAGTCAACGTTTGACACGCCGGACACGGCATGTTTATCAACCCTGGCAGCTTGCTTGTTGGGTCCACGCTCAGCTGACAGAAACGAAACACTAGAACCGCGCAAGCACCAGGGTTTCTGCAATTTGCTTCCCTGCACTCATGTTGTTTGTCTGTTGCGATCTTGCCCGTACACTTGACCCCGACTAGGATGCGAGGTTCAGCGTTTCGGGGTTGGGAGGCAGCTAACATTCGAAGTATTCGTAGTACATAAGCTAGAGAACCCAGCCCAGCAACAAAAGAATAAAAGAGTCGAAACCCGCAACCCTAAGGCCGGCAAAACCACAGCCCAGCAACGTGAAGCTTGAGCCGAAGGCTCCAATCCTAAGGCCGACAACAAAAAGTTGCAGAATTATACTGTGCGCTACCTGTATGGAACGTTGGCCTGGGGCTCCTGAAACGCGCCGTCTGTTCTCTGAATTGTGTCGGCCGGTTCCTGCCGTCCGTTTCTTGAAGTGTGTCGTCAATTTCCTGAATTGTCTACGCCTGAATTCCGAAATGTCTTGCCTTGTTTCCTGAATAATTGTGATCCGTGAACTGTCTGATGTCGTTCCTTCGATGACGACGCAGGCACTTTCTCGACCACCCTCAAGAACCTGCATGAAGAAAAACTCAAACCCAACCGCATCCCTTGCAGGTCCACAAGACCTCGCTTCGACCAAAGCGGGCCACAAGAAAACGTAGCTGGAAGGCACCCAGTCGGAAAGATAAGTTTCAAAGAGGACTCCATGCGTGCGCGAAACAAGTTCGCTGAATGCAAGCAAGGTGCAGCAAGGTATAAGATGTGCAGTCCTGATCAGCCATGCAATAGACGGCACACTCCCTGAAGCACTCGCCCGCGAAAGCTTCGCAAGCAATCTGAATCCCGTCACCTGCAGGATGCTAAAAGCAAACCCGTGCATTGCCCTTTCGGGATGTCGAAGGGAACACAAGGACTTCAGGAGAACAACAGAAACTAGCAAAAACAACACAACATGTCGTCAAGTGGCGAGTCGGGCAGCTAGTAAACTGGAAGCCCACAGGTGGCTTGTTGGGGGGGGTCCACGGGGTGGTTGTGGTCGTAGTGGTTGTAGTGGTGGTGGTCGGGGGGGTGTACGACAGGCAGTCCCCCACTCCACCACCCTTGGCCTCACGCTTGACACACAAGTAAGAAGAGGCATCAACGTCGGCAGGATCGGCAGGCACAGCGAAAGCGTTCTCAAGCGCCGGTGGCTTGTTCTTGGGGCTCACGATCCCTAGAGGCTCCGCGGCGAACCGGCCCTGGGACACGTCCCACACGCATGGAGCCACCATGTCTTTGTTTCCTTTGTCACTGTCGCTGATGCAAACTCTGCTGCGTGAACTCATAGATCCATCTGGCCTCCCGCACCACTGTGAGCGAGCTCCCAACGCAGCGCAGTTTCGCAAAGCCAGATGCGAGCCACTTGCAGACAGTTCTTTCTGTTCTGCGGACACGCAATTGGAATTTGATGCTATGACCAGGCCGCTGTCTGTCTCTGTAGCAAGAAAAAGTTGGTCAGCGGAAAGCGGATTTCGCTTTTCCACTTCGATCCTCTCTCCGTCCTCTTGCCAGACTTTCTCGCTACCTTCGTTCTGCACTCTGACGCGGCCACGCCACTCCAGTGGATTGATGTATCCTACGTGAAGGCCGCCGTCTCCATGCAAAACAATCGGACGTCGCAAATCCACAAAAATCTGGAGTTCGTGATGGGCGGTGAAGTAGAGCTCTTGTTTCATTGCACCTTGTAGGTCTGCGTAGGGAGCTCGTACTACCTGCACACAAGCAGCGCACGCAAAACCAACGGAATCAGCAACCCAGTCGCCACCCAAACAAGTCAACCGGGTGGACCGCACATGCTTTGAAGCCTCTGAACTGCGATCGGAAACCATCGAAGCCATCGGGACAGGCGAATAGAAGGCGTTCCAGCAGCTTAGTTGCAGTTTTGCACCAGCAGCGAAGCTTGTGCGGGACGTCTTGTGCCGCCAGTAATGCGAATCCGCAAGTACATGTCCGCAGCTGCCGCACTGAGTCACACCTTCTCCGCCCAGCAACAGTTTCCAATCACATAGCTCCAGCAAATCTTGGAACAAGCATCGACCGCCCAGCTGAGTCTCTCTCTCGTAACACTGCAGGAGCCCCGTTGCCCCGCCATCTGCACAGTGGCCTTGCTGCATGCATAAGAGAAACCGCAGCAGCAACAGCAACTGCAACCCCTGAAAAAGGTGACCGTTGGGGCTTCGTGGAAAAACTCGTTATCATGGAATATCATGGACCTACGAAGAGGCCTTGCTGTCGACACTGCAGCGTCGTCAATGAAACGGGCTTGCGTCGCCATGCGGGCACAGCGCAAGACAAGTCGTCCAACACCTCCACTGAAGCGATGCTCGCCAACTCCGTGAGATCCAACGTGCTTCCCACCGCGATGTGGTAGCTGGCTCCCGTGAATGATGGCGCTGTGAAGGCCCTCACTCTGCAAAGGGGCCCGCCTCTCACCCCCAAGTCTTTGATCCGCCGGTTGTTCGATGGAAATTGGGCATAGGAGCCGGAGCTCAAGGTCTCCCAGCTTTCATCGTCAAGTTGAACTCTCAACGAACAGGATCCACAACAATAAGCACCTACGCCTGTCTTACACGAAAGCTCGGTAGTGTCATTGAAGCCGTTTTGCAGCCAGTTGCCACAGGTATCGTCTCGGACCCATCCAACGGGCCCACGTAGGCCAAAGACATCGAAGGAGGTGCAGAGGATGTCGCCACCGTTCTTCCCGCACGCTTTGCCAGCGTCACTTCTGCTTGTGAAAGGACCTTCCAAGTACACAGGGCTGCTGCCTTTGTCAGAAGCCGTCGAAACCGTCGAAGCGGTGATTACCTGGTGAACTGAAAAAGATGCGCCAAGAAGCTGCCGTCGAATTGTGGCATGCCAGCAGGCATCTGGATCAGCTCGCTCACAGACTTCCTGCGGCTCTGGTACACCATAAAGATGTCCTTCCGCCTCGAGTTCCCGCACCTGAGCATCTGCTAGGATGCGTTAGGTAGCTTGCTCAAGCTCGACAGGTTCTATGGGGCTTTGCCCTCTCGCAGCCACGCAGAAAAATGTGCATGATGTCTAGAGCAAGTCGCCAGAACGGTGCATGCTGTGTAGAGCCTGCACTGGCTTTGCCCTCCAGCTGTCCCGGTCCACAAGAACTTGCAGCTCGGCGTGCTCTGGCAAAGCACATCACAAGTGTTGTCCGGAGCCTTCGAATCGCACGGGGATGGTGCGGCCGAAACAATTAGCAAGTCCATGAATATGAAAGCATACGCCAGTGTGGCTGCAGCGAAAGCTACTACGAGAACCAGTGTGCGCTTAGCTTGGGAGGGAGACATGACATTGACAGCAGCTGTCTACCACTGCAATGCTGCGGGGCCTCCGAGTCCTCGTCGATGCGTACGACCTTTGTCAAGTTCTTTTGCTCGCATACGAAGGAGCCCTCTACGATGAGGACGCGAGACTGGAAGCGGGGCTTTGTGGTTTGGTTGGGAGCTGTTGGAGCACATTCACAAGGATGCAGCCAGTGGTCTGCAGGCTCCGCTGTGGACAAGTCATCCAGAACAACAGCTGATGCCTCATCTGCACCTGCTGGATCCGACTCAAGCACTGTCGACAGATTGGGAGCGTCGCATGTCCCTGCGTGGAGCTTCAGGAACAAATCACTGGAATTGTCTCCAACATGAGTCTGATTTCAGGGATGCAAGATCTGCACGGGTGCCCACCCTTCAGCAAAAGCTGTGTGAATGCTTGTACGAAGGCATGCGACACTCTCGCCATGCAGCTCTGCTTGAGGTTGTGACGCATTGTCGATGCTGCTCATGATGTCATCAGGACTCGGACGCTTCAGCACCAGGTCCCCTTCATCACATGCGATTGCGTCCGTCATCGCTCTGTATGTCGCCAGGTACTGAGTGTCCTGTGCTGTGATGCCGTCTCGCTTGTAGACCATGTTGCCCTCTGCATCGCTGCTAAAGGGGCAGTATGTACCAGCAAAGAAATGGGAACCAGGATTGTGGAATTCTATGCACGTGGAGCCCTTGGAGCAATTCAATATCTTCTCTGTGACGGCTTTGTACTCTTGGCAATACCCAATGTTGTGCGGATCTGGCAAGGAACAGCGAGCACTTAGAAAGGTGCAAGAACCCGCCGTGGCCGCGAAGTGCGAGCAGTCGGCTCGCGAACGGCACAAAGATTTGCAGCCGGTGCCCTCCTTCAGCGTCACTTTTTCTGCATTTCGCCAGAAGCTCGTGGTGGATTCATGCGTCCAATCATTCCAACAGACATTGTCTTGGAGCTGGATCGAAAGAACTCCGCCCACCATGAAACGTTGGGTAACTAGCCAGTCATAGTGTGCAAAGACAGCGCACGTCACATTGATGCTGTGGCGATTCTTTTCCTGTGCATCCAAAAGGAAAGCAAGGCCGACGTCAGCCGTCACCACAATGATACCTGTTGAGACATCCATCACAAACACTTCATGACCATCCAACGTAGCCTGGCCGGTGAGAACATCAAAGCTGAAGACTGCTTCGTCTGCATCGGAAGCGCAAGACGCGCTGAAGCTGTCGGGCGCTGTGCTCCAGTTCCGTGGTAAAGAATCTTTCGGTGAGATTGGAGGCGATAACTCACCAAGTGTGTGATTGATCTCAGGGATTGTCCAATTCACCTCTTTCCAGGCGGATGGAACCAGTACGTGCACAATCGTCTTGAGGCTGCTCATGTTTCTAGTCGCTGTGACTTGGCACAGCACACCATTGCCTTGGTGGAGGTTCAAACCTGGTCCTTGCAGGTTCGTCAAGCCGAAGTTGCCCTTCGGGGCTTTGTTGGGGGTCATTGTGATGTCACCATTGGCGGCGTCCAGGTGCAACCAGCTACTAAAGTCCATGTCTGGAAGGCACGCCATGGCAAAGGTGTCGACTTCGTCCGCAATGCTCGGGCTGAAAATCTCCTCCGGTGCCTCATGTTCCAGCACCAACACGTTGTTGTCGCCATAAACGAACTTCTCAGCCTCCACGATGAGCAGGGCAGAGAAGTTGAGCTCAGCACTTTGGTGGGCGGTCACCGTGCACTGAAAACTGAAAGGTTCAGGCCGGTCAGCACCACAACCAACTGTCTCGCAGTTCTCCTTTAACTTCACCTCGGTCTCAATATCCCATGCGTTCTGAAGTTTAAAGGATGTGCTACTATCTAGAGATTGCACACAAATATTCTGATGCCTCGCCAGTCTTCGCGTCCAGAGTGAGGTTGAAGTCCAAGAGCTTGCACTCGGCATCAACAGAGAAGTGTTCTGCCGTGCGCGGGATGGGCCTCTCAGCTGCGCCAAATAGCGATGATGATGATGCTGAGGATGAGGATGATGAGGATGAGGAGTAAGAGGAGGAGGAGGAGGAGAAAGGGAGGATCATAACATGAGTTAGGATTAGTGGAACAGCAATAATTAGCACTAGTAATCATCATATGGGAAAAAGCAAAGCCAGGGCCAACAAAAGCTAGCCGGGAGGATCACGCGGGAGAAGTGACCCTGTCTTCTCTCAAATATGGTGTCTTGTTCGCTCCGTTGCTTTTGGGTTTTTCTGCCTCGGTTGCTCGCCGGCGCCGTCCCACTCTCCCCGTAAAGTGTGGAAGCAATTGGGCGCTCAAGCAAGGTTTTGGACCCACCTCAAACCCCCGTAGAGCTGTAGCAGTAGGAGTGATAGTCGTAATACGAATGTCAGTAAAACACGCGGCACTGAAAGTAGGCCAGAATCATCGTCCTCATCATATGACAACTTCGTGCAACCACGTAGTCAGACTGGCAAGCCATGAGAACTGATGATGATAGCTAGATAAAGGACTGACACTTGCAGGAAAAACAAACAAGTAAACGGGCCTGCCGAGCGTCCCGGAGACGGACTCACCCAACACCAAGGTCCGCATGTGGTATTGGAAGCGCGTGGCCTCGCGATGGCCTCGATTCCGCTGTCAACGTGACGACAACATGTTTCAGCAACATGTTCTAGCAAGATCTGCTGTGCAGCAAATGCTGCCACCATGGTTTCACAGGAAACCGACAATGAGGTTCAAAGGGACGAGGTCTGGCATTTTGGGCAGAAGGCTCGGCTGTGGACTAGATTTCTGTCGCGCTTCGCAGTATCGGCAGGCAAGCAATGGCGCGAAGAACGTGAGATCTAGCAACTCCAACCTCTCCACTCCTTAAACAAGGCACCTCCACCGCAATGGCAGCAGGCCAAGTTGGAGGATAAGAAATTGAACTCCTCGTCGTTGCACTCGTCGATTTGAGCACAATTTTTGCCATCCTTGTTGGACCATTCCGGCGTGTCCATGCAGGCTTCGCACCTGCTACTAGACCCCCCACCTGTTTTGATGAAGCCGCCCAAACAATGCAAGCACTCTGAGTCAGAAGCATTGCCACAACCAGCACACCAAAGCTTTCCGGCTGGGCAACAGGAAGGAGGATGAAAACATTCTTGGGGACCTACTCCGGCGCAGGTGCTCTCCGGCCAAATCGGAATTGTGTCTTCACTGCATTCGGAATTTGAAATCGCCAAGTTTTGCGTCAGACGCCGCTGAGCAAATTGGGCGCTCATATGCCTCTGGGCACCACACAACTCGAAGTAGTCATTCTTTTGAGCTTGCTGAGGGTGATAAGGATGCCCCAGCACCACGGAGCATGCCCAGTATATAACGAAGCCTAAGCGATGAGAAGCCCTCACGACAAGAATCAAGCACAGCGGACGCACAGCAGCCAGCGAGCCTCGCATGGTTGCAGATCTCTTTTGCCTCAGCTGTGTCAAGGCACGTAGACGGCACTGGCCACGGTCGCACTGAGCTGCAAACGGGTCTAGGCGAAAGCGGGAGGTTGAAATGGGAACACTGATTGCACCAAATGGCTGCAATTCTCCGAGTAATGGTGCCAAGACATGCATGTCTCAGGAACTGTTCCTTCTGCTCTGGGCAACTTCGGACTGAGCTGACCGTTGGGAAATTGTCAACGTCCACTGTTGAAGAAAGTATCCAAAAAACAAGTTGGTCAACAGCTAGATGATTCCATTGCACAGGAGTGGACAAGATCACACAAATGTTTTCCGCTTCACCTGCCGTCACGGGAGCGGGGTCACGTCGAGCGTAACTCCTCGAATGGGTCGCGTGTTAAGCCGGCTCTGCCACATGTCTCATCCTCGTAACCGTCATCGCATTTGGTCTCTTCTGCAAGAGCGAAAAGCGTAACTCCTGCAACTGCCAGACGTGTGTCATCCTCGAAGCATAAATGGTGCACCTGCAGGTGGTGGTGATGGTGGTGGTGGTGGTGGTAGTCGTGGTCGTGGTCGTGTGGTAGGGGTAGTGATGTTCGGTGAAGTCCTGTCGATCCGAACCGAGGTCTCTGTGCTGTCGTCTCCCCAAGAGTTCTCTCGGAAACCCAGGTGTCGACATGATTGTTTTGCAGTGCCTTCTCGTTGTCCATTGTTTCCCGCTTTTTTTGAACGGAGCCCCGCCTGTACTTCTTTTCCCTGGCCCTTGCGAAATGCAGTGTCGATTATGTAGGGGAGACGGTCTCCTTTCGTAGGCGCTTTGAAAAACACATCTTGCGCGTCTTTGACGTTGATGGACAGACCCAGTAACAACTTTATACCTATGTCCGGCGAGGCTGTGATTCTGAGTCTCAGCCCCTTGCCGCGGTGGGTATTTTGACGCTGGTGCCTATTGGTACAGCTTCAAGTGACAGAATCGAACGTTCCAAGCAAAAACTTGCCTCAGGGTCGTTGAACCCGCCTTGCATCATTTCAACAAAAACCCACGTAAAGCTTCTGCTGGGAACGGGAAGCGGATTTTTAACAACGCCAGGCCTTTGTGCTGGCTGTGCTTGCAGGGGGGCTCCGTGGTGGCGCCCCTTTGCGAGACATACTCGCGCGAAGCACTCGCAACAACTCACAACTGCACAGTGACGCAACACACTCGCAATCAGTCGCACCCTACATACAACCCTGCGCGACAGACGCCCTCTTTTGGCGGGACATCGGCAGGCGGCGGCAGGTCTTGATCTTGCGCAACCCGATCGGGCGCAGTCAGATCCTGCTACCCCACCGATTTGGGCGGAGTGGGCGGGTCCGACAAACTTGCAAAGAGTTTGCAGCTGCTACGAGCTCTCTACGACGAGCTTCGGACCAAACTCGCAAAGGTGCAAGCGCTCGTAACATGTCACTACGTGCACTGCGGGCACTCCTGCACTGCGAGACATACTCGCGCGAAGCACTCGCAACAACTCACAACTGCACAGTGACGCAACACACTCGCAATCAGTCGCACCCTACATACAACCCTGCGCGACAGACGCCCTCTTTTGGCGGGACATCGGCAGGCGGCGGCAGGTCTTGATCTTGCGCAACCCGATCGGGCGCAGTCAGATCCTGCTGCCAAAGGTGCGACGCCTGCAACCCATCTTCTCGCACCTACAAGCCCCCTCACTATCTCAGCGGGCCCTGCAGACACTCTTCCAACAGCTGCTGCAACGTCTCCTCCCAGTTGAAGTGGAAGCGCTTCCAACCCATGCTTTCCGCCAAGTCAAAGTTGCCTCTGCTGACGGAGTCGGAAACATTTGCAGAGCTGCACACTCGTTGCCACTCGGGCTGGAGTTTCTTCTTCTCGATGAAGACCCACGCGGTCTGCACAAGCCGGTTGATGCAATCGTCTTTCCCGTAGCCTTTCATGAGAGCCTGCTTTGCTGGCTCATTGTCCACGAACAACACGCAGTGCCGGTGCAGTCGCGACTCTAAGGCGATGAGCGGCAACACTTGTCCCAAAATTTCCAACATATAGATAAAGGCTCGCCGACTCGTGAAGTATCTTACAAACCAATAGGGGACGATGCCATACGCATAAAGGGTCACATTACCAAGACAAACAACGAAGCCCACGCCGTTCAAGAAGGAAGCCGGGCTCTCCCGTCCCCAGTCTGGGATGTTGTCAGCCTCCGACACTTTGTAGCTCTTGCCATGGAGGTTGAAGAAGGCATCCGCGTAGATCACCGATCTGCGCCGCACATCAAACTGGACGATCCGCGGCTCACCGTGCGCTAACCGATACCTGAGGTATCAACACACTAGGGGCAAACACACACACCCCTACATTCACACACTTTTCCTTCTCAAGTTGAGCCTTGACGGTGTGTACTGTCTCTTCAAAGCACCAAAGGAAAACACTGCTCTTGAGGTGTTTCAGGGTAACTGCAAAAGTTGTCACCCCCCTCAGACGTGGTAGCCTTCAAAGCTTACCATGTCTGGACTGCAAAAGAGGATCCTGGTGACCCTTTCGCAAAGTGCTCGCACGTGTGCGCAAGGCCTTTGCAACTTTTCCTCAAACCTAAAACCTTCGTTCGAAGGTTTCTCAAAAGTCGCAAGAGCTTCACTCCTGCTCCCTGTTGCAAGTTTCTACCTACTGTAGTGGACCAACAGGTTTAGTCCAAAGGCTTGTCACTCAGCTGTACACATCCTAAACCCATCCTAAACCCTCTTCGAAGGTTTATATGCATTTCGTATGCATCTTTTTCACTCTTCTCATCTTCCATGCTCAAAACTGTCCAACTCTGCAGGAAAAAACCATGCGTTTCAGCCCAAACTCTCAAACGCGCACGTCTGGAAACGCAGGCGCAGCTACAATTGGTGTCCTTCTTCTTTGCGCTCCACCGTCACGCGAACTTTCACGACCGCTGTCTCATCCAACAGAGATTTTGACGAACTTGAGCTGCTGTACTCTTGACCCCAACGTGGCTGCACAAAACCCCCCTATGATCATGACAATGAAAATGCTGATCACAAAGAGCACAATCGTTGCATTGTTCTCGGACTGCTCACCAATCCCGGAGCCCATTGCTACAGGAGCTAAATAGCTAGCAAGCAGAACTCTCAAGATGTTGTTTTGCTGGCCTTGCTTGATCGCTGCAGAGACTAAGTACTCCTTCACTTCCTTCCCCCCTGCCAAAATGCCCGTCTCGTTGTCAACGTACCCCATCAAGCCCAGGAGGAAAAGGATTCGCTTCTTTGAATGAGGTTTTGTCCCCAGATCCGACGGACATGCGTACGTAGAAATTGGTCTTGTCAAAACGTGCCCCGAACGATTCTCTTTCTGAAGCCACAAATAAGACAAGTCTATGTGTCTCAGCTTGCCGGCTCCTTCTCGTGCTGCCAGCGCCCGAGCCCCGGAGTTGTCCACTCTGTGCACTAGCTTCACCTCGGATTCAAGGAATGTTTCAAGGAATTGCTTGACAAAGATGCCGTCTGCGACTCCCAACAACGAAGACATCCACTCAGCCTCTGTTGAGCTTAGGGCGTAGGACTTTTGGAGCCTGGTGGACACGAAAACCATGTTGCCGTTCAAGTAGAGAGAATAGCTTGACACACTCTTGCGCCCAAACATCCTTGAACCCCAATCTGAGTCCGTGATCACTTCTAAGACATGTCCTGTACCAAAACTGCATTCTCCTTCATGTTCATGTTCAACGTCATGCTCACACCTACTGAAGCTTCCACGCTCGCTAACGGGATCTCTGGTGCATTCAGTGTCACACTCTCGAAGCCGCTGTTCCAATGTCCTGCCAGGGCGTGTGAGCTTCAACTGGAGTACCCACTCAGGTCTCCCCTTCATGTACTTGCCCACATGTCGCATGATCGCAAGGTCATACTCACTCGGACTTGCACATCTGGATCCAAGGAGTCTCATGGCAAAATGGATCTCTGGAATATCATTGGCCATGTAGAGCAAAAGACCCAAAGCGCTTCTGAACGTGCTGTACGCAGAACCTTCTAAAGGCGGGTCTTCTTGAGGATACCTTATGGTTGAGGGAAGTGGTGTCGATTTGCTCGCGCTGCGCTCAAGTTGCAGGATTGAGATCAACTTCTCCACGTACCTCTTCTCTGGGATCACCCTGATGCTGCCATCCTTCCCTTGAAACAAACGCTTCAAGAAATGCCCTTGTCCTCCAAACGGATCTATCGGTCCTTCTATCTTGAGCTTAAGGCCCGACTTCTTCAAGTTGCCCAGCAGTTTGCTCGCCCTCTTCTCGCCTGAGACAAACTGAAAATCATCTACGTGTGTTGAACACGCAAGGGATTTTGGTTCATAATACACTGCTGGTGCTGCAGGATACGACGTCAAGCCATCTTTCGCGAAAATCTCCCCTGCATACATGAACCAATCTCTCGCCCCACTACGCTGTCCGGGAAGATTGTATTTGAGTTCATAGGAGAGTCCTGTTGAGGTAGTGATGAATGTAGGTCTCCTTTGTGGTACCATAAGGTAAGCATCGGAAACATCAACCATGTACATGACGAGGTTCTCCCCACTCACACACAAGCCCGCTAGCAACTTCTGGAGGATCCCAAGGCTCGCTGGAGCATACAGGTCTTCAAGGGCCGGTTGAAGGTGTCTAAACTCCTTCGCCACCAAACGCGATCTCCTTCGCCACTCCCCCCTGAACCTCCAGTCGCGCACCGTCTTCGACTTTAAACACACCATGCCCTTACCATCTTCTTCACGTTGCATGGGTCTCAGGACTCCCATCTTCTCCAACCTGGTATACTCAACGTCATCCATCCTTCTGTCCAACTCTTCCAGTTCTTGCTGGCTTAGTTGAGGAGGACCCTCTTCATACGTTCTACCCTTCCAAGGCAATTCTTCGTGATCCTCAACGCTTTGCCCCTCAAGCCCCTTCTCGTAGTCCTGCTCCATGCTCTCGATTGGTAGGTCCACCTCTAAACCCTCTATCTCGATCTCATCTTCGTGGTTTGTAGGGTGACTGGTGCCCACGACTCTTCTAAGCATGTATCCCTCAAGCTCTACCACCTGACTCGCATTCTCCATTTCGGCATCAGGAAGCATCTCAGGTGAATCCGTGCTCATCACTGAACCGCCTTCAGGAGTAATTCCACCTCCTATCCCTCCTGCGGGTTCACCAGCCACCGACGAAGGTGGGTCACTCGCTGCTTCATCTTGAGGCGCTTGGGGAAGCAACACATCTGGTACTCTGATTCTGGGCGCTCTTTTGGGCTTGGTCGGGACAACATCCAACACAGAGTTCCACGGCACACCCTTCATGCTCACAAGGTTTTCAGTCACATACGTTGTGGAACCCCTCCTTACCGACCTTGCATAGTGTACTCCACGCTGATCCGCCACCAGGTTTAAGTTTCCCATGGAAGACTTTCCCAACCACACGCATCTTCTCCAAGGTTCTGCTTTGGCATTCGTTTTCGGAAGGATTTGGGCAAACACTGTTGCGCCAAACGGGCACAACTTCCCAGCATACGCTCTACCATGGAGGAGTTCAAACGGGGTCTGGCCGCAACGAAGAACATGAAATCTGGAATACAGGAACGCACCGTGACGAAAGGCCCAATAGAACAGAGGGTGGTTCGAAGTCACCTTCCATCCTGTCTTTTCTTCTATCGAAGCCAACAAACACTTTCCCATCGATCTCACTATGGTAATGAAGCGCTCAGCTTTCAACCCATGGTGCAGCTGTGAATCCGGAGGTGCCACTTCGATCTTAGTTCCCAATCCCAGCCTCGATCTGCTCGCACTCACGGTCTTGAGGAACTGGATCATGGCTGGCTCGCTGTCACCTCGGATCACTAGCTCTGAATGTCCCAGCACCGCTCCTAGCTTCACCACTTCTTCAGTCGCATTCTTCAAGTCATGAGCCGCTTTGGATTCTACTGGTACACAAAGACAGAAGTTCGTCTGCTCATCCACTACCACCATGTGTGTTGACATCGCATGCTCTTCATCACTGCCCGGCGTTTCTGTTCTACCAAACATGAAGTCGACGTGTATCACGCCTCTCTCCTTCGTCTCGGCTCCCGGGTGGTTGTCCTCCCTGCTTCTTGATGACAAGCACGCTGAGCACCAAGATGCTCGAGGGAAGTGGGTTATTTCATGAAGGTCTATGGTGGCTTGATCAGGCAGCGCCGCTTGAGGTTCCACTTGAGGCTGTCTAGCATACTCTGTCAACATCGCATCGGACGCCTGGACTGCCGCCTTGATTCGAGAATCTGCAATCTCTGCTTGCAGCCTTGCCCATAGCACTCCTTTACCACCACTCTTGCTTATGCGCATGTACTGGCACGCTGCCCGCAATGTTCTCAAAGATGAAGTTTCGAAGACCTCGATCCCATTAATGACCAACTTCTCTTCCCCAGTTTCCCTCGGAAGCACATCTGCCTCAGCAGGATGTTCGGCTCGCTCCTCAGGCCCATCAGGTGGACCACTCTCTGCAAGACCAAGTGCCTGGGATGCACCCACTTCTACTTCCATTGGTCGCTCACATCTCTCTTCTCTAGCTTCTTCTGGCGCTTCAGCTTCTCTCGCTTGACCTCGAACTTGTGGACGAGCGAGTTCCGATTGAACAGCTCCAAGTGTCTCGGGATCTACAGGGTTCTGGGACAGCAGCGTGATCATCTTCACTTTGGGGCCATAAGTCTGCAAAACCTCTCTGCCTTCCCAGATTTCGCCACTCTCGAAAACCTCATACTTTCTCTCACCCTTGTGCACCAACGTACTTCGGAATGGCCAGATGTGACTCGGATACGATCTGCCTGGGTTTACTGTGCAATCACTGGACATGCTCACATGCATTGGCTGTCCATCTCGCCTCAGCTTCCACCCAGGTGTGGCTGAGAGTCGCTCAAGGTTTTCAGGGATCTCAACAATCATCCGAACATTCGAGCTCGCATCATCTCCAGACTCGATTCTGTAGATCTTGCAACGTGTCGCTAAGGAGTTTCTGGCCCAGTGCACTGCGAACCCTTGGTTTCCTCGTGCCATTACATGACTGCCACTTGAATCTCGCTGCACTGACCAATCATTCTGAAACAACTTGCCTACGCACATCAGTGGTTGCCGAACGTTCCCAATGACCGCTCTATCCTTGAAGTAGATCTTCTTGCCATCTAGGCCCTCCATCTCAAAGATCACATTCCGTCTCGTACTGCTCGACGCGATAGTGTTACCTTGGGCGTCTCTAATGTTTGCAACACTCCCGCTCTCCTCTCCAGCTTCACTCATGCTCATGGGCAGCACTGTCACATCAGCACCGCTGTCTAGGATCACCTCCTGATAGCCTACCATTTGCTCACGCACTACACGCACATGACCACAATCTTCACCATCAGAACTGCGTGGACTGTGAATGTCAAACATCAACGTGCTCGTAGATGCTAGCTCGGGCTCTGTCTCCTCTAAAGCCTCGCTCTCCAAGGTGACCATCCGGATCTCGCTGAAGTTCTCGTTCTCGCTATCCTGGCCAGAGAGGTCATAGTACTGACATGTTGGGGCACTTGGCGGAGTGTAGATCAGGAACTCACTTTCTGCTTCAATCTCTTCAATCACGGGCATAGTGTGCAACTCCAAACGGCGAACTTGGGGTATTGTTCGGGCACTTGAGGTTGTTGAGGCATTCGACGAAGCTGTTGACGCGCTAGACGAAGGAACTGAGGTACTGCTCTCACTCTCTTGCACTTGACGCACTCCAGCACGACAATCAGCTGCAATGTGACCCATTCGCCCACAGGTGTAGCATGGACCAAGCTTGCCCTTGCCTTTGTCCTTGTCCTTGCCTTTCTTTCCATTCTTCCCACTCTTGTCCTTGCCCTTGTTGTTCTTTCCCCACTGCTTGCCAGAGCCTTTGTCCCCATAGCTGCCCCAGCCTTTGTTGCCATGTTGCTGGTAATGATACTTGCCCTTGCCCTTGTCCTTGCCCTTTCTGCCCTTTTCGCCTTTGTTGTTTCTGTCCTTGCCTTGCTCCACCCTATCAACATCCATCGGCGTAGGACCCCCAGATTCTAGATACTTTGCATCTTTCTCAATCCCAACTGAACGAAGCAAATGTTCCGAAGACCAAAGAGCAGTTGACCTCTCAAAGCGAAGAAGTTGCGTGCGCATCTTCTCGTAGGTCATTGTCTCGTCCAGGTTGAGCTGCAAGTACTTCTTGACATCTCCTGGCAGGCCACTGAGGAGAGTGCTGATCTTAAGGTTGTCGTCATATGGAGCTGCAGCCACTTTGTCGTACTCTTGCACTAACCTCTCAAAGGCTAACGTGTAGTCCAATAGTGAGCCACCCTCCTTATACGCAGGGAACCGGACAAGAGCCTGAGCTAGTGCAAGTGCTCTGGGTCGTGACTGTGGTTGCAATTCGTCTGAAAGGGTTCTCCACACTCTGTAACCGTCGCCGTTCTCCACACTACGAAGAATGCGAAGGGGCCTCTGTCTCAAATATGTTGCCAAAATGGCATACAGTCTGATACTTCTAGCCTTCGTTTCGGGGGCATACGACTCAAAGCTCACGAAGCTGTCTGCAGTCTCGCACTTCTGAAATTCATTGCGATACTCCTCTTCTTGGATGTACATCCATTGTTTAAAGGTAAAGCTCCATTCACTCCACTGGCTCAATTCTTCATCGAGGCTTTTCGGCGCGAAGATCTCTGGAGCCTTCACATACTTGCTTTCAGACCAGGTATTGGGCTTTGGCTGGTTCACGCTAGCAAGCTGGGCCACTGCCGTGGCCAACTGACTCAGCACCACTGTAGGATCTAAAGCCGTAGCCGTTCCTGAAGCGCTGGGCGATGCTCCGCCACCTTGCGGAGAGGTTGGATTCTCTCCTTGCCCTTGGCTCTCCATGGCCCAAGGCTCTTCTTTCTTTCTCCTTCTTTCCTCTTCTTTTCCTTCAGAATCGCACCCTCGAGCACGATCACGGGCTGGTCAAAGGCCAGTCGACAGCAGCTAGCAGCCGGCTGCACGCCAGCAATCACACGAGGAACTATGAAGGCTTGTCTCCGCCTACCACAGCTACTCTTGCAGATCGGGTCCAGTCTGCACCTACTAAGGAGCCTCCCCGAGACCACAGGAATCGGTTCACAAGCTCCGCTACCACAACACACTAGGGGCAAACACACACACCCCTACATTCACACACTTTTCCTTCTCAAGTTGAGCCTTGACGGTGTGTACTGTCTCTTCAAAGCACCAAAGGAAAACACTGCTCTTGAGGTGTTTCAGGGTAACTGCAAAAGTTGTCAGGTATGCAATCGCTGACCTCAGTGCCGAGTTTAATTTCCAACCTTGCAGCTGGGTTCTGAAAGCAGACGTCTGAGCTCTCTGGTGGAATGGACGAATCGCTGCCATGCTCGCTTTGCCAAACATGGACTGCGCAATGAACTGAAGCTTTCCCGCTATGGCAGAGGCCTCGCGAGGCTTGAGCTGGTCCTCGAGGAGGATCTGGAGCAACATCGAGTCCAGCCGTTGTCTCCGGTCATCGGCACATTCGATCACAGCCCTGTCGTTTTCGAAAGCAGCTGAAACGCCGAGGAGCTTATGCCGTTTTGCAGGCGGCTGGGCCTTGGCCTCTTTGAACTTGAAGCCCAGCGCTCGACAAGTTGCAAGCGTCTCCTCATAGGCCGAAATGACCGCGTCAGCCGGCTCGTCGGATCCAAAATCATCCACGAAATGCAAGAGTGGCACCAATAGCAGAGCCCTTGATAGCCACGCCAGCAAGTCCGCTATTCTGCAGTAGCTCCACACTGACGCTGTGCTCCCAAACATAAGCACATTGTGCCTCCACAGAGTTGGGCCCGAAGGTGTAGAAAGGATGACCCACGTGTGATTCGGCTCGCTTACTGGAAACTGTCTGTACGCCGCCTCGTGGTCCACACCCCACAGCTGCACTGCGCCATCTGCTGGGCTGTTATTCTTCCTGATCGCTCTGGCCAGCTCCACAAACGCGGTGATATCATGGTACGCCGGTGAATCCGGCACCCCCACGGTCGCATTCGCCCCCGAGCTACGCCAGTCTTCGGCTCGGCGCACTTTGGGCTGCCCATCCGAACCAATCTGATGCACGGCAAACGCAAAGCAACAGGGGACATGCTCGTGAGGACCAGAAAGCAAGGCTGCTGTGTGCTCGTACTTTGACAAGGCGACACCCTTAACGCCCCAACACTCAGGCATGGCAAATGGCCCCTCCATGCGACCGCACTTCACATCCGCTGCGATCTCGTCGGCCATGGCCTCCCAGTCCTTGTCGACGCGCGCCCTTCGTAAGCGGGAGGTTACGAAGGCAAAGTTCTCCTGGAAGAAATCCTTGACTGGCACTGGGTTATCATAGCGCCCGTCATGACGCAGCCTCCAACCAAGTCCCGAGCTAATCATGCCCAACATGGGGAAGCCGCGCTCCATTTCTTCGAAGATGCCGGCACGGCCGAAACTAGATGTCTTCCAAAAGCTAACCGGATGTCTTGGTTTTTGGGGTGTTCGCCGAGTCATGATTGTGCTTTTTGTGACTAAAGAACTTCATCTCCTGTTTTGTGTTTGGCTTTCATTCTACCTGCGGGCTAGCCGCGGATTGTGTTTGGCTTTCATTGTGACTCCTGCGGGCTAGCCGCGGATTTAGTCGCCCGCGCGTGTTGTGAGATGTGCTTGCTGTGTGTTTTGTGAGCTGTGCTTGCTGAGTGGCCTGTCATGGTTTAGACTGACTCTGCAGACCTTTGCTGCTCCAAAGTTAGTTGGTCCTGCGGGCGAGCCGCGGATTTGGTCTCCCGTGTGCTTACTGTCACGTGTGTTTCGTGGCTTGCAGCTTTCTTTAATGCCAGAGTCTTCAAGTCGGTTTGACGCTGCGCATGTCTGCCAAGAGCTTAATCGCAAAGTCTACAGGAACCGCTCTTTTTGCATCATGTAAAGCATGGCGCTCATGGAGTCTTGGCCAAGTGAGCCCGCGGAGGCCTGGCAATCACTGCCAGTGCTTGTGTACTGGATTGCGTGGTTAAAAACTGTCAGGTTTCTTGGAGCGCTCCAGCTCCGACCTGGAAGAATTGTTTTCCCTCCGACTTGGAAGAATTGTTTTGCCCTCAGCCTTACTTTTGGCGCAGCTTTCTTGAAGTTCATAACGGACACGGCCAGGCTTCCCGGCGCTGGAAGCATAAAGCTGACTGGCCACTCGGCTCCCTGCCACAGTTTGGGCTGAAACAAAGTTAATGTTTCTGCAATTTGTCAAGTTGGCAAGCCTCCGGGCGGCTGCGCCAACACTTCGCCCAACAGAAGACCCACAAGTGTCACAAGCGTGAGCCCCATCTAAGAATTGAATCTAGATGACCTCAACGGCAATATGGAAAATCTCGAGCGCAACACGCCTGTACCATTGGCAAATGACAACCTAACCTGCGCGACGGCGCGTGCATTCGGTACGACAAGATCTCTTCAATTTGAGTTAAGTAGCAGATGGGCCCGAGGCACATTGGTTGAGGAAGAACACCATCGCTGATGAGGGGCCCGAGCCTTTGTGGACCGTTGGGGCTGGGAGGGCACAGAAGGGGAGCTTTTGCTTGGGCTGGTTTGACCATCTTCCTGACAAGGACAGGGAGGCCTTCTTCATTGCCGAAAAGATCGACAGGCGGGTCCAAAGCCTGTTGCCACAAACAGCAGTTCAATGTTGGCACTAAAGGCAGGCTGCATCCCCGCATTGAAGCAGACCAAAACTTGCGATGCCGCAGCACCTGCCTCAGGCCGCTTTTAGAAGGATGCCCCCGGCTGTGATGATGCCAAAGGGCAAACTTCGAGCAGCATGGCGGCGCATGGTGTTCAAGCTCATCGACATGATGAGCCAGGTGGTGACTATGGCCGTGGCAACCGACGCAGTCCGGGACATGCGGCACCGAGCCCCCTCGATCACCCACTACGCGGAGGCGTTGGACCTGCTGGAGAAGGAGCACCTCCTTTCGGCGGCACCGGCGAATCGTCATCTTCAAGCGCAGGAGGCGCTCAGCCCGGGATACCCTGTCAAGATCCAGAGCTGCGATCACCCGGAGGATGCGAGCCGGCGACATGGGAATGTGCACGGCCGGTTTCGAGACTGCCAACAATGCGGACTGGTGTTCAAAGCCCTGCCGAACGACTACCGAGTGCCGATCTCGGACCAGAAGATCCCGATCTTCCTGGAGCACGGCAGGCGCGGGCGGCCAGGCGGCAAGGTGAACAAGTTCCCGGACGGCGCCGGCAAGGCCAGGCGAACTTCAACCGGCGCGGCATCCACAACAAGCTGGCAAGATTGCTACTCGTGCTCAGCTCGTGCCTCTACGGCAGCAGCATCCAGCGGCTACCCACCGACGACCTCGCAACCTTCAACACCTTCGGCGGCGACCGCCGGAACAGAGAAGAAGCCGACGCCTGGGGAAACACCCCCGGAAATGCCCGAGAAGACGCAGAACGACGACCTGGAAACGGTCATGAGCGTCTCCAGTGGGGACTTCTGAAGAAGCTTCGCGCCGGGCAACGATGGCGTATGGTCAGTCAGGCCCGGAATGCGCTTGAAGCAAGCCGGGCACAGCGCGAATTGGTCGAGCAGGCTGCACATGAGTTGGGCATTTACTGCAGCGGCTCACTCAGGCCTGTCGTTTCTGCGACACCTCAAGGCGAGAAAATACTTCCTGTCGAAAAAGAAGCGGCGCATTACAGTCAAACAGTCAAACAAGCGCGTGCAGTTGCACTTCTGCAGCCGCAGGCTGTCCAGCCTTCTATCTGCTCGGCACCCGGCGTGATTCTGCACTGCTGCTTGCATCAATTTAATTCAATGTGTGAAGGCTGACTGACTCTCAGTAAATTCAGTTCTTCATTGATCCGAGGCCGTGCACCGCAAGCAATGTGCGGCCATGACGGGGTTGAAGGACAAAACTTCTTGCGCAACATGGATAGATGGGCAGGATTGTCCTGAATGGCAGGACGCCTGGCATGGGAGAGGGCTGAGGCTGGTCACCTTGTGCACTGACGCTGCGTTTGTGCGTAGAGTTTGTTCGGTTGCGGCGCTGTTGTGCTGGGGGTTTGCACGTTTTTTTGTTTCGCAGGTGCTGGCATGTGTGTACACCACGCCACTGGCCCATCTGCACATGACCTGTGGGTGTGTCTGACATGTCTCTCGAATCTTTCTATCTGTGATCGCTGCGCACTTGCTCAAGGTCCTGAAGGGTCTGTCTAGTAGTGGGAGGTGATTTCTGTTCATGCCAGTGGTTTCTTGAGCTCGCTGTCAGCAGCAGTTACTTGTTGTCATGCTTTGTGTATGTGGCTGTCACTGTGTGACTTTGCAATGATGTCGTACAATCATCTGGATGATGTGCCCCGCTGCCAGATACTGCGCAGCGTGGCATGCAAGACAGTTGGTGTTCAAACGGAAAGACTTCCAGAACTCTCGGACCTGCAACGGCTGGCTCCAGAGACGAACAAGCGCCGCAAGGCGGCGCCTTCTGTGGCGCCCTGGCTTCGTGTTGCTTCACGGCCCCAAGAACCGGACCTACCTGCCTCTGAAGTACCGAGCAACTTTGCGCGGACAAGCATGCTGTACTCCACCAATGGGAACCTGCCTGAGACACTTTGGGAAGGGCTTCCGAAAGGAGGCCAGGGCCTATCCTTGTTTGCGCTGACTTGTCGTTTGTGATCCCCGACTGATTGCAGGATCGAAGGATACGTGGCGGAGCTCTGAGCGCAGTGGCCGAGAGTCGGCCAGAAGATGCAAAGCAAGGCTTGGGGAAGTGAAGGTGGTTTGTGAACCTCAGGCCCTACGCCCATCAGACCATTGCAGGATCTTGTCAGCTGCAACCGACGGCGGCCAAGAGCCGACCAGATCAAGGCACGTGTGGGATTTGATTATTACTTAGTATTCAGATTCGAGAAGCGCACCCCTTCAGGCTATGGGCCACCGTCACCTCCTCCAGCAGTCCAGCCGCTACCTGTTCCGCTAATCCCTCCTCCGCCGAAACACAGAGGCCATCTGACGTGTGGAGTCCAGTCAGTGTAATGCAACAGACCGCTGGCGTCCATCACATTGTGCACTTCCAGGATGCACGACTTGCGAATCTGCGCCACAATCTCAAGAATCTCAAGGCCATGAGTGAAACTTGTGTCCATCCAAAAGCTTCGTCTGACGACGTTGCACGTCCAGGTATTCCACAGCCGCCGCTGCAGGCTGCTCCTCCGCAGCAGGCTTCCATGACCAGGCACAGCTCAAAAACGGTGATGGTGGCTCACTCCAAGTACGCCGCAAGAAGCCCGCCGGCGTGAAGCCGAAAAATGGCGTTTGCTTGGAGACTTCACGATGATCACGATTCCCATTCTTGCGCGTTGGACCAGCAATGATAAATTATTTTGAAGTGAATTGCGTTGAAGGTTGCTTCTGCACTGAGGCACGGCACGCCAGCACGAGGCGGCACGTGCCAGCACGCGGGCAAAGGCGAAGCTGCAGCGCATGAGATGTAGCCTGGCAACCCTGAGCTTAAGAAGACTCTGTCAGGTTCTGACTCAGATTCAACCTGGCGCCAAACCGCTTGACGCTTAATATTGAGCTGTGCTGCACGAAGAGTGATTGTCTTGCTGCATGCTTGTGTGTGTGTGTGTGCATGTGGCATCATGTCAGTTTTGAATGTCACGTCGCTGCCGATGCTGTTTGTAGAGCGCTGCTTTTTGCGCTTGTCAGTGATATTCTTTAGTTGGTCAGTACAGTGACAGGCAACGGGGTATGAGAGTACGCCGGCATGGTAGGCCGCTTTAGGGAAGACGATACGTTATTTAGTTTCAACTTCGCCATGATCCTACCGCGTGTGCGATTTCCTCTGTGCCTCTTGCGAGTCGCAGACTGAGATTGCAAGGAAGGACGTCAGTCATGCGCTGGCACTTCTTTTCTGGGGGGCAGGTGATGAGGGGGGCGGGGCAGAAGGTTTATTGGGGGTTCAAGATCGCACTGACCCTCGGTCCACCGAGGTCGAATACCATGTGTTGGTCGCCCTGAGCTGACTGGAATGGCCAGGTGCGCCCAGTCTCTCTCTCTCTCTCTCTCTCTCTCTCTCTCTCTCTCTCTCTCTCTCTCTCTCTCTCTCTCGGTTTAGGCTATAGGGTTTCGGGTCTTAAGGTTGAGGGTTTCAAGTTTGAGCTTTGAGGTTTTGAGGTTTAGGGTTGAAGGAAAACACAGGCCCTCACATAAACCCGACGGTCGCCTGACTCAAGGAGGAGCGTCGCCAAGGCTGTGGGGCTGTGGTCTTGTTTGGGAGGGCATATACTTAAAATGACTGGCCTCCGCTAAGGGAACCCTTGGAAAATTGCAGGGGATTATCAAATTCCGGACTTAGCTTAAATTAGTTGTGGGGGTTAACTGATGGCAAGGCTAAAATGGGGCCGCCCAAGCGTCAGCTAAGCAACAC